AAAAAAAAAAACAAAACGTCTTCTTCGTTTTTGTTATACAATTTTGTAAATAAGTGATTTTCTCCTTCACGGATGTGCGCTAATGAGGCTGCACTGATAGGCTGCACTGATGGGCATTGACAGGCATCACTAATGGGCACTGAAAGGCAGCACTCAAATAGGGCACTGTTAGGTGGCACTGACTGGCACTGTTCGGCGGCAATGATAGGCAGCACTGATGCACACTGATAGGCGGAACTGGGTGGCACTGATAGGTAGCACTGACTGGCATTGATAGGTGGCACTGACTGGCACTGATGGGTGACACTGAAAGGCAGCTCAGATGGGCACTGATATGTGGCATTGATGTGGCACTGATGGGCACTGGCAGGTGGCATGGATGAGCACTGAGAGCTGGCACTGATGGACACTGACAGGTGGCGCTGCTAGGGCTACACAGATCATCAGGGCACACTGATCATCAGTGCTCTAATGAACTGTGTACATGTCCCCTCCGAGGAATGCAGATTACCCACTCTCCTCTCCTCACAAGCTGTCAGCGTGACAGCTCGTGGGGAGAGAAATGCCGATAACCGGCATTTCCCTGTTTACATGTGGTCAGCTGTGATTGGACACAGCTGATCACACGACCGAGCCGACATCTTCGCCTCTGTGGATCGTGATCTGCTGTGTCCAAGGGACACAGCGCACCACCGATCGCCGCGCTGAGCGCTCCCGGAGCCGTGTATGCGCGGTTAGAATGGGAGGACGTCATATGACATCTTCCCAGAACGAGAGAACCGCCTTGCGTCCGTCATTTTACTATATGGCGGGTGGGAGGCGGTTAAATGCCCTATTCTGAGGTCTGTGGTGTCTGAAAGATGCTGGAAGCCATATGCTAAGGGAAAGGACACACATGATATTTTTTGTTAGTCTCCAACAACTGTAACACCAGGATCTCACAAACAAAAGTGTTTGTTTTTTTTACAGAGGCCTATTTTTTTTATGCAGTGAAGTTGAAAGCTGTCCTTTAATGTCAGGTGTATTCCCTTTTTGAAAGGCTTTAAAATGTATGTATTCACTTAGATGTCACATTCCATAATTTTAATCAAGCCCTGTCCTCTTTTTATCCACTTTGATCACTTCTGAGAATAAATAAAGATTGGAAAATGACTTTGTTGGAATGGTACCAAATGCCTCTTTTCTCTTCATGTGACAGTCAGTCTGCAGGCAGCACAAGGATTGAAAAGGAATGTGATTTACAAATGCAGGGACACCAGCTGGTGCACTGTCAGAAATAGCTGCACAAATACATGGATTAAAAATATTAGCATGGCTTTATATGCTGCCGTCTAGCATACATTTCCATCATAAGTAACTAATGCATTAAATAAGGATATACTGAATCAATATTTTAAAATGACAAGAGGCAATCTGTTTGACAAACTCTTAGCATTGTGCATTCTTAGGAGACGAGAACTACCTAATAATAATGACCGAAAACAAATAAAAGGTGAATCAGCAATATCAGTTTAGGGGTGGAAGTTGGTGTAAAGAGAGTTCATTGTATTTACCTGCATGTCACCAATTACAGCCTGTAATCTAAATGTCCTATGCCAGCTTCTTTCCCAGTTGGCCCACTGTATTTTTCCTAACGCTGCCTACAGATGGATCAAAATTCAAGCAGTTCAGCAGGGACCATCTCAATTCATCTATTGCTTTTCCCATTGACCTTCTGTGTAAATGTAAAGTGGTAATGGATAATATAAAGTATGTAGTTTGTCGGCATACCAAGGGCATATGCAATTTTAAAGCATGACATGTTTGGTATCTATTTACTTAGCACAACATCTTTTATACTGTACCAAACAATTGGGTATTATACTGTGTTTTTCTTCATTAAAATTCATTAACCCCTTGGCACCGGCACCTCCTAGCCCTTTAAGGGATTTGTGATGCCAGAAGGCGGGGGCAGGGTTTAGGGTAATGTGACTGCCATGATTGGCTGCCAAGGTGGTCACATGATCAGAAAGCTCCTGACCGCAAGTAGCGATTGGGACCTGTGAGGAACCGACAAATGTGCCATGAGTGTGCAAGGCGCGCGCTCTCGGCACATATCTTGTTTACATTGGGCACCTCGACCCAGCCGCCAAGAGGCTGCATATTTGTGTATGCTTGGCGCCAAGAAGTTAAAGTGTATTTAAAAAAGAAAAAATTTGAAAAACCACTGTGCAAATACCATGTGGCATAAAAAGTTGCAACAGCCACTATTTTATTCTCTAGGGCCTCCACGTTTAAAAAAAAATATATAATGTTTGGGGGTTTTAAGTACATTTCTAGCAAAAAAAAATACTAATTTTACGTCTGCAGAGGACCCAGGATGCCTATGAATCTGACAAGAGCAACAGTTTTTTTTTTACACTTCCCAAACTAACATAAAAAAATTATTTCAAATGGTAAATTTACTACAGCCTTTTTTTTCCCCCCAAACAGGCTACCCAGGCTCCCCTGTGGTGCCTTGGCAGAATGCCTAAGAGATGCCCCAAAACTGTATATAAGCCTGTCTTTTAGTTACTCAAAGCCATAGGTTTTAATTGTGCACCACTACAACCTTCTAGCTGCCAGCATCCTAAACCTGCTCCTCGCCGTCAGCACTGGGAACACATTAACTGAGCGAGGGAGATAAAATGGAGAAAAACACTGGAATACTAACCAGCACAAGCGTGCAAAGGTATGTTTGCTTTGGCAGAATAAATCACCGTTAAAGTGTTACTAAAACCACAACAGTAAAATCAGTCTGTATATGCACTCACTGTGGAACCTAAGGGGTTAATCCTCTGCATTGTGTAAAAAGGCTGTTTGATCCTGTCTTCTCTGATCCTCCTTTTTTCAGTGCCCCCCTCTTATCTCCTAATAAGACATACTGTGTGGAGACACTCTCCATATGCTCAGTTTGGTGCATATTGCTAGAGAGGTTTTTTTTTTTTCTCTTGGGAGGGTGCATGTGATCAGCACAGGGCCAATCATCACTGTCCAGACAGGTCAGGGGTCTGCATCCTCCTAGAGCAGAAAGAAAACTCCTCCTAGAAGCTTTAACATGTGCTCTGCTGCACACTGATAGAAGTCATGAGACTGCTCTGTTGATGAGAAAAATTTTGCAGTTTATATTTACTAAAATAACTATTTCCATGTTGTGTACTGTGGGAGACCAGATATAGTAAATGCAGGGTCCTGGGTTTAGTAACACTAATGTTGGGTGTCCTACATGTGTGGATGTTGCTGCAATATGTAAAACTATTATTTTAGTTTTTTACATTTTAGAATGGGGAGCCTTGAGATTTTGCTGAATTTTAAAGGCTGCCTTGACTGAAAAAGGCTGAGAAACACTGAATTAAACCAAAAAAGAGCAAATAAAACGTTTATTGCTCAGGTTAAAACTGAATGAAGCCCAATATACAGATCTCTTGAGGCTCACTTCACAGCAGGCATTCACATTAGCAAGTATTTTCAAGAAAAATTGCATGGAAATGGGAGTGTGATTAAGCCCGAAAAGTTTCACATATGGTTCATTATAATGCCTAAAAACTGCAGTAAATAATTACAACCGAATAAACAAAGTTGAAAATACTTTTTATTGGGTGGATTTTTCCCAGGACATGATGGAATTTTCTTAAAATTTGATTTTGGCTTGTCTGTGATGCTTTTGGAGAGGAGTGAGGAAGGATTTGAATTTCTGACAACACTTTTATTGTTGTCTGTGCTTTTCTGTTGTGGTGAGCGCACCCGCATTTCCTGTATGGATGTCACAGGAAGTAAGGGAAAATCTCCCTGATGTGATCACAGACAAAAAAAAAAAAAAAAAAAAAAAAAAAAAAGAAGAGACAGAAATATTACTCTTCCCTACTACAAAGAAACATGATTTTTCCTGGAGCTAGGCTTTAAGTACTAAACTACCAGCCCAGCAGCACATATTTAACTACATGCTCAGAGAATGGAGCAATTCTTACACCAGGACCAGCTGTTAACTTAATATCAACACGTCACAAAAAGAAGTTGGGCTAAGGAGCCCACAGAAGTGACTATGAGCCCACAGAAGTGACTAGTAGCCCACCAATAACCTCTGACGCACCAGCTCTTCTGGCAAAGGGCAGTCTAGCCATGTCCTATCCATATTCTGTACATAATTATTGTAGAAAATAATATTGTTAAAACTGTCCGCAAATTACATTTGACGCATTTTTTGTTTTTGCAATCCATATAACTACACAAAAGACTTAAGGACTTGTGCTATTTTCCCTACAGTACAACAGATAAGGATGCTGAAACTGGCATGATAACACAATAGTATATTTATTATTATAGGTACTTATATAGCGCCACCAATTTACGCAGCACTTTACATATATATTGTACATTCACATCAGTCCCTAACCCTCAAGGGTCGTACAATCTAAGGTCCCTAACTCACATTCATAGATACACATACTGGAGCAAATTTAGACAGGAGCCAATTAACCTACCAGCAGGTCTTTGGAGTGTGGGAGGAAACCCACGCAGGCACAGGGAGAACATGCAAACTCCAAGCAGGTGGTGCCGTGGTTGGGATTTGAACCAACGACCCGAGTACTGCCAGGTGGAAGTGCTAACCATTTAGCCACTGTACTGCCCACCTGTAATCACACACCAACAAATTCTCAACCATATGAGCCCATCTTCGCTGTTATAGTGACCTTTACCGGGCTATTTCACAATCAATATATTCTCACAATTAAGAACTATTGAAAATCACTCATGTAGCCCTACCCTTATAATTCTAAGCCAGGGGTTATGCATCTAGGGAACAAAATGGGAACAGGCACCAGGTCATTGACCCACCCAATAGGCAGAATAGTTTATATTGACATTCTCAGTGTGGATTACTTGGAGAGTAGGAGTTTTTCTTCAGCTGTCTCCTGACCCAGTTAGAAGGGGGTGATGTTGCAATGCAGAAAATATAATAACACTGCAGATGTGGTGCTTACCGTGTACAGCTCATTAAGTACTTTCATTAGATCCTCATGAAGCTGAAAAGCAATTTCTTTGCTCTGTAATGAAATAAAAGAAAGCAGTGTAAATTGAATGCAAATACAGTTATCTCATCTTGCAGGCTTTTTAAAAAAAATTGTTGCTTAAACTAAACTATCAAAATGCAGATCATTTAACCTGTGCTGTGGTATAAAATTTTATATTAAAAGGTGCCTACATTTACTGAGCGGCTGAATTACACTCGTCTGAATTACAACCCTTATTAAAAAGCCATGCTATTGCATGGAAAATATGAGTAGATTCTTCGTAACATGATGACAACTGAAGATAAGTTAATGCTACAACAAAGCTATACAATTCCAAACACAAACAAAAAAATGGATTAAAAGGGTTAAAACAGGCAGAGCTGGAGCCAGCTGTCAGTCAGGCAGCTGGGTGGATCCTGTCATTATTTTTCGGATCCTTCCAGAGCCTGAAATGAAAGCCTGCTGTCAGATGATTCTGGGTAACAGGAGAGTAAACCTGTGCACACCTGTGACCCACAAGAGAAGTATGGCCACAAAAGCTTCAAAATCTCTGAAAGATTTTTGATGCTGTCTTTGCCTCCATTGGAGACATTTCTGTTCACCTCCTAGCTTACCTTTATGGCGTGATATGATTTTGAGGTCTTAATATTTGGTAAGTGTTCTGGGTGCTGGTGGTGGTGGGCTAGCAATCACACAGGGGAGTCTTCTAATTACTTGAGAGTGCACGGTTTTGGACTACTTTTTATGGGGAAACTGGGGGAATATATAGGGTGTAAAAACAGTAGGAGCAACCCAACAGTGGTTCTAAGCCTCCAAATTTTGGTAAAGCACCCAGTTTAAATAAATTCTAAAAGCAATAAAAAGGTACAGCAGAAAGGAAGCAAGTGTAGTGCGTGTAAACCAGTGAAACATTTAAACACAAACAAATCGAAAATTCATTATGCACAAGTATTATTTTACGAGGGACATTCAAGTCAAACTGGGACTTTTAATTTTACAGGTATAAAAAGGACTGCTAGCGTGGCAGTAATACATGCGGTAGTAAGTGACAAGTGTGTCCCATTACTGATATGCGGTGCACATGTCGCAGGACAGTCCAGAGATCATTAATCAAGATGGCAGACAACAGTGTTAGTGCGTGCATGGAACAACGTGTGGTGATGAAGTTTCTTGTTATGGAAGGCGTAAAACCCATGTATATCTACAGAATACTTCAAGCACAGTACAGTGAGAAGCTCAGCCACAGAAAGACATCTGAATGGTGTAAATGTCTCAAAGATGGCCGTACATTTGTCAGTACCGATCCCAGGCGTGGTGGTTCACAGCCCACAGTAGTCATTCCTGTGAACATTCAGCGCATGGAACGCCTGACCCTGGATAATCGACGCATAACTTGTCATGAAATTGCACAAGAGACAAAAGTTCCTGTGGAGAATGGTGAACACAATGATGACGAGGGTGAAACAAATTGTCCTAAGATGGCTTAGGTGTATTTAAAAATCTTTCTTCGACTAAGCCTTCCAGGCATTAAAACACTAGGAGAAGTGTATAAATGTAGCAGGGGAGTATGTAAAAAAAAATGCAGTTTCAACTCCTTGAAATGTGTTCTTTTATTATATAAAAACACAAATGTCCCGGTTTGAGTTAAACGCCCCTCGTATAATTCAGGTTTATTTCAACATAATAAAATGGTTGCAATTGTGGGACCAAACAGATTGATTTACCCATATACACCGGAAAATGAAAACTAGAAAAAGTTATAGTTTAATATTGGTGACTAACTGCTATTACATTTTCACACACCACTGTAGACACATCCATTAGAAAACCTGACACCCCAAAACTCCTCTGCTGGGTGTAAAAGGATACAAATTTTGTTGGTAACCAAAAAATTCAGTCATACTGCAATACTATCAAACTATTAACTTAGTGGGAAAAACAGTCTCTTTCTTATTCTACTGACTCAGCAGACTGAATAGCTCAGGTGTGAATACAAAAGCAGGAAACTGTCCATTTTATACTTGCTGTTACAATTCTAAATTCTGAAACATTCTGAGCAACAATGAAGGACAAAAACAATAAAACAATGGAAAACTCAGTGGGGGGAATACAAATTAGAAATAAACCCCTCTAGCTCTCATCTGTATAAAGTACAGGCCCTGTTCATCTTCAGATCTCAGTACAGATACAGTGGTAGAGATTTGGAGTTCTGCAAAGTAAATCCTGAAATAAAAAAAATCTTACAATATGCAAATGTATGCACATAATTTACAAAAGCTATCAAACTGCTTTGTTAATTTGGTACACCTAATGCAAATCATCTATACTGTAGGACATAAGCATATTTTATATATGCCCCCAAGCAAGCATGAAACTCAATTCGCTGATATTGTAAATGACATGCAAACGTGAGGTAAACCTTGACAATTAAAAAGACACAAAATCAAAGAGAATGGGACATAGTTTGAAACAATGAAAACGTATGCACACACTGTAAACTACTTTTTATTGCTAAAATGATTACCAAAAAAAAAAAAAAATCCCCCAGTCTTTTTTGCCTGAAATGCTGTGCTTTGGTGTATTTGTAGAATAGCTAGTGTGAAGTAAAGCAGTAAGGACCCATAATAAACTTCATTTGCAACATTTAAGATCCACATTCCAAGATGATCACATTTTGTTCATCACATCTACGGTGATGTATTCCTGTACACTGCACCCACACAGCTTAAGTAATACTTTGCAAGGGTTACCAATTTATTATCATAGCTGTGGAATCATATGCCTTTCAGGGTACTCAAAATGTTTACATTCCGTTATTTTTTGTGGAAGTATGAGACAATGCAAATTGCTTGCCTTTGACTAAACATTGTGTACACTGCAACATTAAGGCCCCACATGGCCATATAACACCAAGATCAGCGTATTTCTGCAGTGGGTATGGTCTAGTGTTTGATTTGTACAGGCTTCCTGTGTGATCACAATGACAAGGAGACACTGCTTGTGGCTGTCCACATACAACCATACAAAAAGTGAGTACACGTTGTTATGAAAAAAAATAAACCGCCCTGTATGCCGACAGTAAAAGCTCCACATGTCATTACATGTGAACCACTGTGGAGCATGTTATTTGTGTACAGGCTGAGCACACGTAACGGACTGCAAACACCTGGCAATACCAGCCACAGATATATGCTAATCTGAGTGGTGTAAGGGTCTAGACATCTAAGTGAATGAGGCCTTAGAGCTCATTCACACCAGACGTGAGGGGATATACTGGCCGCAATTTCCACTGCAGCCTCAAAGTACAGACAAGACAAAATGCCTTGTTTAAAAAATGCTGTCTGTTTACACCACACCATTGCAGTGCTGTACTCTATATATAAAAAAAAAAAAAAAAAAAAAAAAAGTGCTGCACGCTGGTGTGAATGATCCCTTAAACTGTAACTAAACCCAAAATGTTAAAAACTTCAAGCATGCAACTCTTTATTGTAGGAGAGACTTGCTATGTATCTTCTGCAATAACACATTTATGTGCCTGCTCAGTCTGTGACAGCAGCCAGTGAGCGATTTAAGGTGATTGTAAAGGCTCAAGGTTTTTTACCTTCATGCATTCAGATGAGTGTATAGGAAATCCAAGAATAAAAAAAGAAAAAAAAGTACAGTATTATACTGTGCCTTACCAGTCCTTTGACGTGGTGATTGCATTGGTTTTCTTTTTTTCTCACTCTGTGGGTTTACTGCAGAGACCGAAGCGCTAGTTTTTGCCCCAATGCAAAGCACAGCATGTGAACACCCCCATCCTCTGCAACACTTAAGGGGGGGGGGGGGGTGAAATATGCTAAAAACATGGCTCAATGGCGCATTTTTAATCTAAATGAAACGAGCCCTGAGTTTACATGCTCTTTAGAACAGTTAAAATGTAATTACAAAGGAAGGTACATTTTTTTGTACATGGATATTATGCATTTTTTTTTCAGTATGATTTATCGCTCTACGTTCACATTGGTAACACCTTAATCTAAAAAAGAAAAAGTGAAACGCACAGAGGCTTGGCAGTTAGCCAGAACACAGCTATCAGTAGCCTGTCCTGTAAAGGGCTGAAAGTTTAATTGCTGATTGCTTGTCACGTGTTTACTACTGCTTTGGTTAAAATGCATCTGTACTTCATTACAGGTGAAACTTCGCTTATGGACTGTTATAGGACACCATCGGTCTCTGAAGATCATTACTTAAAACTTTAAAGTACCTCTGCAGCGCCCCAAGAAGCCAAACTTACTCTGCAAGTTTGGACTACAGAACGTTGAGCACTGGAACACTCCATTGTATCCAACAATAAGATGTAGACATCTCTCAACTGGTTGCTGAGATACCAACATTGCAATGTGTGATGCAACGTCTCCTGGAAACCTGGAAGCCAATAATGAGTTATCCTGAAACCCAACAGAGGCAGACTAAAGTTTATATCATTTTGGGCAGGCACAGAATAGTGGTTTAAATCATAAGGTTAGTTTATGTACTATTATGAAATACAGGTTTCCTTGAAACTGGAGAAATAGCTGCTATACCTCTTTAGGGCTAACTCACATTGGAGTGATGTGTTAACATGCATTACATCACGTGTTAACAGATACTCTTTGGAGAAGATGCTTGTTCAATTTTTAACGAGATGGTGTGTATGAGCCTTAAGGGACCATTTACACACTTGCATTGTGGAAATGTTTATGCTACATGCATTGCTGTGCTGCAATACCATTCATTTTGAATAGCACCACAACCACTAAGGAAAAACACAGGTGTTGCAGCTAGCTGCAGCACACAATAGTGCATTGCAATGTGTTGTGTAAAAACATTTTGTCACATGGAAGATGTTTGATGGATTAGCAGCCCACCGATTCCAATGGCCAACTGCAACATACACTATATTGCCAAATATATTGGGATGCCTGCCTTTACATGCACATGAACTTTAATGGCATCCCAGTCTTAGTCTGTAGGGTTCAATATTGAGTTGGCCCACCCTTTGCAGCTATAAC